TGATCACTTTGGTATATATAACCCTATATCTAACTCTTTTAGTTTTAGGACTTACAAACAACCGTTATGTGAACAAAACTATAATACTCTATTTAGCAACTTTGTTGCGAGAGTATAAAAAAAATGGTTGAAAAAAGGCTGGTTTTTACCCGAGGAAACCCATGTAACTTCTTAAACCACCACCCAGATCTATTAAGCCCTCCCCTGACATATTCTTGAATTAAATCTATTTAAGAAAATAAAAATTCTGAGACTTTTTGAAATTATTGTCATAATTTGTGTAACGTGAGACTTTTTGCATTATTTAAGGTCACTAAGGAAGACGTTGAAATCGCTACTTTGGATGAAATCACAAGACCGGAACAAAAAATGGGCGCTGTTTTGTATGATATCAATTTGAATCTAACGTATGCGCAAATAGCAGCGGCCACACGATATCTGGCAGATAAAGACTGTCATTTTATTGCCGGTGGTACAGATTGGCTATTACCGATAACGGCAGATTTAACCTTACCAGGTATGTTTCGCAGCCACAAACACACATATAATTACACCGATTTTGTATTTGGTTTTAGGATTTTGCGATTTCCTTGACACTCTTCAGCGGTTCTCAGGACGCGAGCCGACCATCGTAAGCAAACCGGCGGGTTTGCTTGGTGAAATTTTGAAGGACGTCTATAAATTGGACGATCCCAAGCGTTGTCTTTTTGTTGGCGATTCTCTGACGCATGACATACGTTTCGGTCTGAATTGTGGCTTCCAAACCTTGCTCGTATTGAGCGGTAGCACACCCATAGAGGAAATGTGGCAAGCAAAAGCGGAGGATCAGCCTCATTTTTATGCGGATAGCATAGTCGATTTTATAGAATTATATGCTAATATAAGTAAAAATACCTAAGACTCTATTTTGTATGTATACTATGTGTTCATTTTGAAATAAATTTGTAAGTGCAACTTTCCCATATAGTTTATAAGTTATTCTGATATTCCAATCAGTTCAAAATCAACAAAATAAAGCACTTTAAAACTCGGTCCAATCGTTATTAATATAAAAAGTGTGTAACTACCCGAAAGTAACTGATTATATTGGGTAGTCGAAAAAGTCTTTTCGTATTTTGTCAATAGATGCCATTACCGTTGTATATCTACAGTACAATCAATCACATTGTATCATACCATACAGTCTTGGAAAGGTGAGATTTTAAGCTTTATTTAACCAAAAAAGTTCGGGGAAGTTGAAAAAAGAACAGCTGTTCAAGGATGAGTGAATATAATGAAGAGATTCGCTATACAAGTATTCTGAAATTTTTGTAAAAAAAAAAGCTAAGAAAGAAGTTTACGGAAACGATGCTATATCAGTCCATGTGACAGATGCATCTCGCTCTGGTCGTCCTATCGTTGAAAAAGTCGCTGAAATTATGGAAAAGATTGACCAGGACCGTCACATAAGCAGCCATTATATCGCCAAGGCACTTAACACTCGTCATTAAAGAGTTTTGAATCATTTAAAAAATTACTGGCTATAAAAACACACACATGAATTGTCTGTGAAAAATTTAATGGACCAAATCAACACTGCGATTCTTTGCTGAAACGAAATGAAATCGTACCATTTCTGAAGCGAATGGTAACAGAAGACGAAAAGTGGATCAAATACGACAATAATGTGGGGAAAAGATCATGGTCCAAGCGTGGTGAAGCTCAACAACTGGTCGCAAAGCCAGGATCGACGCCACGCAAGGTTTTGCTGACTGTGAGCACCATAGGACTACCATTTCTTTCTGTCAATGCAGAACTCCCTTAATGGAGTAAAGTTGGCTTCAAGAGAAGACTGTGAAAATTACTTGTCGCTGTTTTTCGCCGGTATGAAAAATTTACTTGATTCATTATTTTCCGACAGGGAATGGGAAATGTTATAGCTTCAGATGAGCAATATATTGTATAATACTAGTTCACGTGTTTCTCCCAAATAATAATATTAGCAGTTTTTACATAAGTTAACTTTTTTACTGCGTCGATTAACTTGTGCAGTAATAAATTATTTCATTAAAGCCATGTTAGCGCTATTAAGTGCACTCGTAAACCGGCTAATTTCCACTTTACAGCAAACCCTATACAAGTTGCTACGAGTAGTGAAATATTTATATTTAAATTTTCTCGTATAACCTTCCTGGGTAATGTTTTCAATTGGCTCAAAACGGTGTTAGGAACAGTCGTTTGAGTTTGCTGGAGGGTCAGAAATCACACGCAGCAAAATCAGGCGAAAACGGCGCTTGCGGCACGCTATTGGTTGAAGATTTGGTAAAAAACCCACGAGGAATCAATGCTGTATGCAACGGTGTCTTATTTTGATACAAAAACCAAGAGTTGTCGGCCCATAATTCCGGCCTCGTTTTACGATCGTTCAAATAGTATTCCTCGTTGACAGTTTGGTCGGTTGGTAGCAATTCGGAGTGCATCACGATAGTCGACGAAAACTGTCAACATAACCTTGCCACGATATTCGTCCGAGTGATCATCGGTTTCCGGATCATAAGCATATATCCAAAACTCATCGACAGTAATAATATGTTTCATGTCTTCGTGGTAGTCGGAAAGCATTCTTCCATAGACACTGATGCGACGCGGTTTTTCGAAAAAATTGAGTGATATTGGAACTAATCGTGCTTTCACTTTTCTTAGATCCAAATGATATTTCAAATGGTTTTCACTGATGATGGTGTTGATCACCAGTAGTTGTTGACGGTCCTCCTGGATGTGGTTCGTCGTCAGCGCGTTCTCGACCCTCTTTGAATAATTTGTAGCAACCAAAAACACGTGCTCGTGACAAACAATTAACACAAACAATTATCAATAGCAGCAGTCTCTGGTGCCGAAGTAATGTTAAAAGCTAATCAGTTTGCCATACATCTCCAAAACATCTTTATTCTTAACGAATCCAGTGAGGATTCTGGCATTACAGAAGTCAAAACCAATCACCAGGTAATGACAGACTTAATGCAATAGCCCACAAAAGCGCTTCCAGGAGACGCAATCATCATGATCGTCAAGCTCTTTAATGGTATGCTCAGACTTTGTTCAAAGAAAAATTTGATTGATTCCAAGGTCAGGGAAATCGGCGAATCAGGTCAATTCATATCGACCGATTAGCCTACAGGTAAGAAATGTGAAACTATTAGATATAATGACGCAAACTTTTGCCTTTGCTAGAGCAGAGCCAAATCACCCCAGATTACAAGTTTGGCTTCAGACAGTTCCTTGGCACAATTGAGCAAAGCGACCAAGTGGAACACTTTTTAACCGGATCCACGGAAAATTGTAAATTGTACTATACTGCAGTTTTTCTTGCTATCCGTTAAGCGTTGGACGAGGTCTGGCACGTAGACCTAATATATAATATAAGTTAAAGGGAAAACTACCGACGCCTTACTACCTGCTGCCAAAGTCATAAATTGTCTTTACGGCTGACCCCACAGTGATTAACTTTATCTTCACAATTACGGCAGCCTCTGCGGATTACACTGCACTACTGTTTTTTTGTAAACTAATTATTATTTGTAATGCTGTTTAAATAAAAAATAACATTGCATAATCATGTAGAATAAATAGTTCTAAAGCCACGTCTATAAATAAATAGAACTGTGCGAAAAATAGTTTAGTGTGAAAGTGTTTGAGCTCGACAACACTGTTAGTGGATTGCCGCACGATTATGTCTGCTCGCAAAGTACGTCATATTTTGAACATCTCAGCTAAGGAGCAGAGGGAGTTCGTCAACTCCTTCGATGTGGTGATGTGTGATTGTGACGGTGTTATGTGGATGGTTTCGTCTCCGCTGCCTAGGACGGGTGAAGCGGTGAATGCGTTGAAGGATGATGGCAAGCTGGTGTACTTTGTGTCCAATAACAGTGAGCGGCCAGAGGAAGAGTATGTGAATAAGTTCATCAGAATCGGAGTGAAGGATTTTCAAGCGGTAAAACGCAAGAACTTGTTTCTTGGATATGTGCAGGTGTTGGCTAATAAATTTCTTTGTTTATTCATTTCAACTAGAACCACATTATGTATCCAGCTAAGTCCATGTTGTACTATATAAAGAAGCACAATATAAAGCAGCCGGTATTCTCAACATGTAGTGCCGATGGTAATGATGTGCTTCGTCGTGGAGGCGTAGATGTGAGGACTTTGGTAGGTAGTAATTGAAATAAGTATAAAATACCACTCACCGCTATAGCCCCTATGGATGAACAAATAATTTTGGCACTGGGAAACAACCCATCAGTAAATTGTTAACGTATATAAAACCTGTCTCCATTTGAAACTCATTACTAGAATCCGAAAATATATTCTTTGTAGAGTTACATGTGTAGAATATCGGCAGCGTGTGCTCGAAGTTCATCTACTCCATTCGCAAGACAGTCAGATTGTTGTACTCAAATTAGGACTCTGTTATTTCTGATATTATATTTTCTCAAAGTTATTTAGAAAACTACAAACTAACCGGTTTTTTTTTGTTAGAATTGTGATATTTAATGACGCAATACATTTTTCGTAGTTGTTACTTTTGACAGCTGTTACCTGATTTATACCCATCATCATTTGCTAAATCAAAACGAACAGACTTACTCCAAAACCTCGTTTGCAAAACGTGAAAATTTGTTACTAAAATTATTTTTTCATAAGCTTTCGAAATCACATAACTGTATAGAGTTTTATAAAATTCCTTTTCTAAACAGCCTTCACAGACATACATATTCTCACTTAAACTATATTTTTCATAAAAATTCTGAGACCTTTTAAATTATTGTGTTAATTTGTATTACTTTCAACTCTTTTTCATTCCTTAAGGACGTCAAAGAATGCGTTCGACTTTCCAATTTGATAAAAATCACGGAACCGGAACAAAAAATGGGCGCTGTTTTGTTTGACGTCAACTGCCATTTAAATTTTGTGCAAATGACAGCGGCCACGCGATATCTAGCAGACAAAGATTGTGATTTTCTTATGGGTGCTCCTGATCCGATACATAAGCTGCAGACAGGTCTAATGGTTCCAAGTCCGTTTCGCAAACACGAAATATATACAAATATAAGGCAATTAATTTTGGCGATTTAATGTTTGTTTTTCAGCTTTTAACGATTTCTACCTCATTCTTAAGCGTTTAACGGGACGAGAGGCGATAATAGTTGGCAAACCGGCGGTTTCGCTTGGTGAAATTTTGAAAGACGTCTATAAATTGGACGATCCCAAACGTTGTCTGTTTGTTGGAGATTCTATGGATGTCGATATACCTTTCGGTCGGAATTGTGGTTTCCAAACCCTGCTCGTATTGAGCGGCAGTACACCCATAGAGGAAATGTGGCAAGCAAGTGCGGAGAATCAGCCTCATTTTTATGCGGATAGCATGGCAGATTTTATAGAATTATATGCTAATATAAATAAAAATGCTTAAGAATCTATTTTGTTCGTATATCGTGTGTGGTTTCTGCATCTTTCCTATAACTTTGTAAGTTATACTGCTCTTCTAGGTAGGGACAAATTCAACAAATTAAAAATCTTTGAAACCCGATCTAATTATCGTCGCACTCGCGACTTGTCCCCGCGGCATTGTTAACAGTCATGCCTTCGTAGGAAATTGAGAAATAGAGTCCTCTCTCGACGAACAAAAACCAAATTCTGCAAGTCATTCATCATAACCCGTCCTGCTATACGCAGTACCCTCGGGGGAAAACTTTATAACTTGCTAAGACATCTACACGAAACTCGGCATATTTTATCTACAAATGAATTTCTGATAGCTGCTATTCAGTTGGTATTTTAGCTTCGGTGCAGCCGAATTTCACTTCATGGTTCCTCTTGTCAATCTGGTTTTTGAGGAAGAGAAGACATTTTGAAACATATACTGAAAGTGAGTGGATCAATATATTAATATAATATGTTCCACTCCCACTAATATCGAATTAAATTGGAACAAACCTGAATCCATATATAGTGAAAAACTACCACGTCTGCTACATATTTCTTAAGGAGTTGCGGATTTTTTCTTACTGCAGATAATTACAATAAAAACAATGAAATCGGTAGGGTTCGACTTAGCGATTCGACGTTATTTAAAATTTGAAATTGGAAAAATCAAGCGGTATATACACACATACATACATTCTCATATATATACATATGTTTCACTTATGTGTACCAATATGTATATTTTTCTAAACACTTACAATTCTATGATTGTGCCCAACTGTAGTTCTCTCAACGCAGCGCATAAACAATTGATTGATTACATAACTAGATTGTAATGGATCTTACCGTGAATTATATTGGCTCACATATTTGCAATTAATTCGATAGACAACGTATTTCTGCACATAAAATTGATTGCCCAGCTTTCGTGTTTGATTAAATATTTCAATAATTTCTATTGCCTTTTTAACACACCAACGCACGCACGCACACACACACGCACACACACGCAATGAAGAAACCAAATGGACGTCTGTCTAGCCGCCTCGAAGCACCAACCAAAACATACTAATTGCAAAGGAGAACAACTCGCTTCGTGGCACCTAATGGTGTCAGTGGTATTAAAGTTGTGCACAACAATAACAACAAATATTAAAAGAAGAAAACAAAATCAAAGCACCTTTAAGTATTGGAAGTAGCGCAAAGCATTTTATTGTGTCTGCGGCGTTGCAAGACAAACATTTAAATTATTGCCCCGTCCATTGGGTTGCAAGCGTGTGTGTGGTGGTGGCGCCGGTAAACAAAAGTCGGGTCTGCTTTTTCACCCCACACTGGTCGTCAGTTCGTATTTTGGTCGGCTATTGGCCTTGTTAAGCGGAAGTCGCCATATTCCATGCAGGAATGTTCAAAGGAAGCATATGAAAGTATTTCAAGCTTACGAGTTGCTTTCTTAAATATGTGTGTATGTATAAACATATAAATTTGGCAAATTTTGATATATGTGCATACATATACATATATGGTAGATATGATTTTGTAAACAATATTCCTTAATAATCAATAAATAAAAAATATTGGTGGCACTGCTTTAGAACTTTTCAGAGCGCTGGTTTGGGGTTTGGTCAATGACGTTTGAGAATTAGACGCATATACATACATTCTTAACCAGTTTGGACGCGAATTTTGTTCTATCAAGAACTTTCAACTTAGTATTCTTCAAACTGGTAATAATTTCATGCTAATACAACAATCACTTTAGCTAAAATAAATAAATAATAAAAATATTGCACCTCCAATCAAGCGCATAACTTTTTGCAGTTTATTTAAAAAGACGTTTGTCTATCACTTCTGCAACAAAATTATTTAAACAAACTTTCAATTCATTTGGTGATTCATTACCATTCAAAAGCATGTACATATATTCTTTGTCACAACTACACAGAAAACTCTTTATAGCCGTTAATTAACGTTTTTGCGCCAATTTAAAATTCACTTTTTCATAAAAGAAAACTAACACAGCACATTTTATTTACACAACTCAATTTTTACTTATACGTTTTTTCTTCAATTTTACACCAAATGTTTTGCACTATTTTATTATTATATGCTTAGTTACAATTACAAAAATTATGATATTTAGCGTAAGGCGTTGTTTTGTCTTGCACAAAGTTTGTTTATTGGCATTTGCCTTTTGAAAACTGTGATAATTTGCATTGAAGAATAATTAAAAGAAAATGTGATTGACTGACATGTGACGATTGTACTGAAACGCAGTGCGGCAAAATAAAAGCCGCTCGACAAACTAATTTCAAAGTTTGCCTTCCATACGGAATTGAACCGGATATCGGAGGGTAGACAGGCAGAGTTCGAATAATATAATCTTGCGGTTTGCTCACACTAATTGGATTAGACGTTGGACGAAGCAAATAAAAAACAGCAAACGCGCTGCAATGCGGTATTTAAATGTGCCAACTATAGCGCGCTACAGGTTCAAAGCAACAGCACACATATATATACATTTTGGAAATACAATCAGCTTTCTTCTTTTCTTTATTCTGTTATTTTACTTATTTGTGCTTTAGTTTAGCCAGCAAAGGCTAGGGATTTCTAATGGTTAATATATAAAATAATAGCGCTATTTTCGTTTTACATTTCATAATCCTCTGGATTGTATAGTTCAGTCAAAAGTCGATAGACATAAGAGGGTGCATGGCCGCCACTGTAAGCAAACAAAATAAGTTGCATTATGTCTAAATGTAAGATAAAACACTTGTACTTACATATTTGATATAAACAGTGTCACCAGCTCTGGCGGCACATAGTCAAATATAGGGCTGTAAACTTTGGCAGAATGCGACGCTAAGGAATCATATTCAATAACATCTTCCGCACAGCCTACTAAATTGAATGCGTCTTGTTCTATTGAACACAAATGTAGCGGAGACAATTTGTACATGGGTGAGAGTACTATAACAGGCACTGAGTAATGTTTAGCTGCTAGAGCTACTGTGTAGGAACCGCAAGCGGCACGCAGGCCCCCATTTGCAAGCACGCTATGTGTGCCAATTATGACTTTGTTGACGCGTGACATCATTGCGAATATTGCGGAGTCAGGTATGACAATTATTTCGACATTTCCCGTTGCCAAGCTAGCTGCCAAGTTGTGACCCTAAAATTTTTAATATATACATATATAATTTGGGAAACTAGTTTGAATTTTTTCCGTATGTTAACTCACTCGGCAATCTGGTGCACATTCAGCTATAATTATGGTTAGAAATTGACGCTTCTTAACAGCACGTTTCAAAAAGTTTTCAACACTACGCGAGTGCCCCAGTGTGAGTATAACCTCAGAAGAGTGTATGTGCTCTTCAGCTTGTGCGCAAATATTTTCCGAACTTGTCTCCAACTCCGTTTCCATTTCTTGCAGGTGATCTAAGAGCGCTTCACGCAATCCTTGTTGTGGTTCAGTATAATCAACGCTAACATCATTACTCGTTTGTGTAACAAGTTTGTGCAAGGACATTGAAGCTTGATCATCCGTGAATTGATGCACCTAATAATTATATGCGCTTGCTATGTATACTGAAATGAAATAATGTATTGCGTTACCAACCTTTGCTTTGAGTAAATCGAATTCTTCGCGTATCAATTTAAGTATACGTCGTGAAATGTTGGCTGTTACAGTCTCTTGCGGAATTGCGGATTGCAGTATGTGGCCTTGTGTGCGCACCAAATTCATGAGTTCGCTAATAAGTACAAATACTTTAAAGTTTTCATGTTCGGAGTATGAATGTACAACTTACTCTGCATTATCCCATCTTTGTCCATTTATGATTTTCTTAAATAATTGTAGCGTTTTTGCTGTAATGTTGTAAGAACCTTCCACATTGCTGTAATAAAATAAAGAACAAATTTATGGGGTTTCAACAAATACTTTAATTTTGCATACCCAATTTTGATTTCGTGAATCAATTGAGTAACTTCTTTTGTTGGTTGGCCTCTCATTTTAGTGGTTTTCCGTTTCAATTACGAAATATTTTAATAGCTAAATGCAATATCTGCCTATACCTGCAATGCAAATGCAAACGTCAAACTTTTGTTTGCGCGTGTCAGCTTAACAGCTGATTGCCAAGTCAGAAGCTAACAGGGTGAAGCATGTGAATCATTTTACTTGTGAGTGCTAAAATTGTTATTTGTATTTCAATATATTTTTATATTGAATCGACATAGAAGGATTACATTGTGAATATGAAACACAATAGTTGTTTATATTTTTATTTAATTAAATTATTTTATTAAAATTTGTGTTCCACTGTGTATTGTTGTTTGTTGAATTGCGTCCCTGGTGCGAATGCAATCAAAATGAAATTGAAAACAACTAATTGGAATTTGTACAGTTGTGGATTGCATTCGGCGACAAGAATGATTTGGTAGCGAATTGTATCTTTCAGATGACAATTCGATATGAAAGTTGGATAAATAAAGAGGTGTGCACGGATCGCGGTTTAGACTTCAGCAATTAAGACAAAAGAATACTTTGAAAATAAATTATACAAATTTCCGCAGCTCAGTGTCGATATTATAACCATTGTAAGGAATCATATAAGTAAATAAAAGAAATGTGTGGTGAAAATTGCTAAATGAAATATTAAAAAAAAAGCGACCGGGGCTATTTTACGCTGCAGCGGCGTAAGCACCCTTATAATCTTGTAGTTGTTTTTGTGTGTACGAACTTGGTGGCGTTGTGCAAAGAACAAAAGTTCTGATTTTGGTGGTGAATCTGTAAACAAAAAAAGTTCCGTTATATTATTGACTTTAAAACGAGTGAAATCAATAAATGTAAAGTAAAATAATCAACCATATAAATATCTACAACACATTTAATAAGGTAGGAAATAATCAAAGACAACCAGCAAATGCATATTTATAAAAACAAATGTGTGTAAGCGCTTTTGCAAAATGCTCCACTGCGCCACATACATACGTACATTTATATGAAAA